TTGCACACTTTGAGTGGAGCCTCTGTGAGGGTGGCCTTTTGCTCCCTCCATTCCTTGCATCACTGCTATGACACAATTTTTCCTCCTTTTAGTGCTAGTCTTGAGGAAAATGCTGGTACTTAAGGAGGTGAGCTTCCCATTTGTGGTGTTAACTTATTTCATAAAGAGTATGGGGTTTATTTCTCTTTAGGACTTCTTCTGCCTCTACCCACAATTCTGGAGAGGAAGTGGGCATGTCAGACTGGTGTGTTATGGGAAGAAGGAAACTGACCAAAATTGCCCAATAAGGAAGTTCTAATCTCCTCAAGATTGCTAAATAGAGGTCTGAAACTGCTATCTCTTTCTCTTTAATAGAAACCCTTGCCTCCAAGCAGGCAGGTGGCCTTCCCACACCTCAGCCAGGCTTTGCTTCCTGCCTGCTTCTGGTTCCCCAGCCTGGAGTGTTCCCTCTTTCCCCCGACAGAAATTTAGAGAAGCAGCCCCATGTGTTAGGCCACACACCCACCGCAGAGAGAAGAAACGATTTGGGGAAACAGCCACTGTGTCATAAACCCCAGGTGTGACTCAGTAGGGTTAGGAAATGTCCTTGATCGTCTGAGGGTGCCACTTGGCGGAGGGGAGTCTAGGAGAAAAAGAGAAGGGGTAGTAAGGAAGGGGGTGATCTGGAGCTTTACACTGGTTTCCTCATTTGTGCCAGTGACTCTGTGGTGCAGGGCTCTTCATCCTGTTTATAGGGAGGAAATGGGCTCAGATGGAGAGTGAGTCATCCAATGTTACACACCTGTACAAATACTAGAGCCAGGATTTGCACACTGATTTTTCTGATGCCATAGCCTGCACTTCACCACCACCAGCTAACAAATGAGGGTTGGCCTGAATGATTCTGCTTTGATAGTTTCCAACAACTTAAATCTGTTTCCAACCAGTACAGAGTTTGTCTTTCCAACTCCTAGCATCCAGGATCAACACAGGATTATCTCACAGGGACACACTTGGCCTGGTACCTTAACTACTGACTTTTAAAGATCCCAGGCAGAAAAGTGTTGACCAGAACACAGCCCACCATTCTCACATTATTGGCATGGGGGATCCCAGCCCAAGGAGAAAGATGTTTGAGCACCCAACCCTAAAGGTGTCAGTTTGGTGAGTCTGGAATGGATCTTTGGAATTCCTACCACTTTTTAAAATCTCCTCATGTCATTCTGATGTGCAGCCAAGTTTGGGAACTCCTATCCCAAGTGGCAGAATGGAGACTAGACAGGGGCCAGCCTGGTGGCATAACGGTTAAGTTTGTGCACTCCACTTCAGTGGGCCGCGGTTCGCTGGTTCGGATCCTGGGCGTGGACCTACGTTGCTCATCAAGCCATGCTGAGGCAGCGTCCCACATAGAAGAACTAGAAAGATGTACAACTAGGATATACAGCTATGCACTGGGGCTTTGGGAAGAAAAAACAAAGAGTAACCTTTAAAAAAAAAAAAAGAATGGAGACGTGACAGAAGTTATCAGAAAGTAAATTTGTCTCAGATTGAGGAAAGACTTTCTAACAAATAGAGCTGACCAACAATAGAAGCTAACCAACTTAGAGAAGTAGTGAGTCTGTCATGATTGGAAGCATTCAAACCTAGGCCAGATGACTATTGGGGTGAGAGAGACAAACTGGACCAAATCAAATGCTATGTTCATTGGATTTTTTTTTAAAGATTTTATTTATTTATTTTTTCCCCCAAAGCCCCAGTAGATAGTTGTATGTCATAGCTGCACATCCTTCTAGTTGCTGTATGTGGGACGCAGCCTCAGCATGGCCGGAGAAGCGGTGCGTCAGTGCGCGCCCGGGATCCGAACCCGGGCCGCCAGCAGCGGAGCGCGTGCGCTTAACTGCTAAGCCACGGGGCCGGCCCTGTTCATTGGATTTTGAACTCATTACTCTAAGGGCCTTTCTAAGAGTGAGTATTTTTTAGCTATATTCTTACTGCCTCGTGTACATTTAGTGTCTCCTAAATGACTTTCTTCCATGGCTTTGGCCTGGTGCTCCCTCCCTCTGGCTGCACTGTGGGTGAAAGTTGGCAGGATTCTGCCAAGTGCATTCACTTCCTTCCCAATCCAGCAAAACCGTCTTTATATGGAGGCTGCTTCTTGTTTCCAACTTTTGCTTCCCTTGGCCACCCTTTACCCAACACACAGTGTTGGCCAAGGCTAGGTGGGCCCCAGTGGTGTGTTTAGGAAGCTGTGACATTAGGTGATTAATCATCCCTTCCTGAGTGGCCCTAATAAACTTGCGGTGGATACAACATCATGCTGTGAAAGAAGGAAAGTTTGGGCCAAGCTGCCACAGTTGTATTTTTCACAGCTGCCTCATATCCTTTCTGTTAGTCTCATGTGATGGAGAAGAAACCAAGGCCCTGGGGTCATCCAAGAAACCACAGGGCAGAGAGTGCCTGCCCACACGAAGAGTGCCCATAGGACACGTGAGAGTGGTGGTTCCAAGGGCCTGGCTTTAGAGCGAGACATACCTCAGTTGGAATCCTAGCTCTGCCCCTCACCACTGTCATTTCCTATAAAACAGGAATATAGGAGTACAATGGAGGTCAAGTCAATAAAGCCATAGGATGGTGTCTGGCAGGTAAGAAATGCTTGGTAAATGTTTAGCTACTGTAATGATCATCATTATCGTTTTCATCTGTCATAATAACACTGAAAGATGATTATAACCTATTGGGTAGAGGGCAACATGACTTAGTAAAGGCTGACTGTTTAGCTTGTTAGAGTCTTTGAAAGTTAAGAATGAGAAGTATAGACTGGATTTCTAGCAAGGCTTGTAGCAGCTTAAACATCAAAGTTAAACTAAGGACGGCCGCTCTAGAATTGTGGCCAGTCCACTTTTGCTCTTCTGCATACGTGACTTCACACTCTAAGAACTGATAGCACAACCTCTTAACAAGGCTGTACAGGCTCTGCCCTCCCATGCAGGAACTCTCCTGCCTCCTTGGCAACACCCAGAGCCATCTATGGAGGTGGGGGTGGGTGGCAGCGAGGCTTCTGGCCCTCTCCTTCTCTGTTTGGGAAAGTAGTAATGTGGGAGCTCCGACTTTGTCATGTGTCAAACTCATGATAATGTCCAGAGACGTCTCTGCTGCCTCTGACATGTGCCAGCCCCATGGGCTGCGCCCACTGCTGCTTGCCCTTCGTGTGTGCATCGTGGCATGACTGGACTAGAAGATGGCCTTTTAATGAACGTGGCTGCATGAATGCGCTGCAGTGCCATTTGGCCTGTACAGACCCCGCTGTTGAGCAGAAGAGGGGCCTTCATCTAGCAGAGCAGACGAGAGCACAGACAAGCCAGGCTGCCCAGTCCAGTCCTGGCTTGGCCCTTTGTGTCTGTGTGACTTTGGTCACGTTGCCTTCCCCTTTCAGTAGAATGGAGGTAATAACACTGCCTACCTCGCAGGGCTGTGGTGAGGATTAAATGAGCTAATGGGTGTAATGGGTGTAAAACCTTGAGAACAGGGTCAGTACCACTTCGGGCTTTGCTGTTATTACTGTTGCCCACGAGGACATCTTGGGCTGTTCCCAGATGTGGCCTGGAGTTTCGGAGCTGGGAAAAGCAGAGTCCCTTCTGGTCCCTCAGTTTGCTGATGAGGCTGCGAGGACCACGACCCTCACACATTGAGGGCACAGCTGGGACCTGGCCCAAGGGTCCTGATTCTATCACTGTCCTTCGGTGGTCAGTGTCCTCTCCTGTCCTGGACACTGATGCTGAGAGCAGGGATATTGTGGAAACTTCAGTGCCTCCTTGAGTGGGTTTCTATCAGAACTTTTCCTGATAGGAGAAAACTGGGAGTATCCATGGCCAAGGCAGATAAGAAGTTTCAAGAAGGAAATTGAGAGAGACTCCCGATGTTTCTCCTTCTCCCCGTGTTAAATCTGGGAAAAGTTCACGTAAATGAATGTTGGAGACAAGAACAATGAAATAACTAGGGAGAGCTGCCCTGTCCCTGCCTCCGGGGACGGGAGAGGTTGCATTACTGTGCACAAGGAGTCTCTGTTAGGTGTCAGGCACCGTGCGAGGCTCCAAGGATGCAAGGGTGAACTCATAGACACTCTTATTCTTGCCCTTTGTACTTATGATTTGAACACTAATAAATATATATTTCCAAATTGTGGATGGTGTTGTAAAGGGAAAAGTTCTTAGAATATCAAGGAGGCCTGACTGTTTTGTTAGTAGGATCAGAGAAGGCCTCCGTGGACAGACGTCTGAAGGATTGGTAAGAGATCGGCAGAGGAAGAGTAGGGTGAGGTCTGTAGAGCCTGTGAATGGGTTCCGAGGCTGGGGAGGGTGAGGTGAGTGAGTTGGGGCACAGAACCAAGGATAGAGTCTGCACAAGGAGTGCGGAGGTGTGCAACAAGAATAGGAGTGGGCAGAGGCCAGGTCGTATAGGGCCTTGGAAGGATTTTGGGTTTTGTTCTAATTAGAAGTCACTGCAAGGTTTTAAGCAGGAGAATAGTAGACTCTGGCTGGGGGTGGAAAATGGATGGAAGAGATAAAAGTAGAATTGGAGACTGTATAAGTCCAGGCAAGAGGTGATGGCTGCTTGGCCTAGGGGGAGGGGTGATAGGATTGGCATGACTGGCCTCATGATGTGGGGGGGGGGCAAGAGATGAGGGTCAGTAATGAACCCCAGTTCCAGGGATATTGTCACAGACACTTCATGAAACCCAACCTTTCTGAAAAGAACTCTTTACTAATATGCCTTTCCCTTGGTCTTCACTATTCTCCAGAGATAAAATTAAACCTATTTTTCTAATTTTAATTTTTAGTTCAGTTTCTTTTCTAAAAGACAAAGTCTTGTCAAATAGATTCTTGTTAAATGGTCTTTAATAATAACCTGTACATAACAGATTTTATTCTTTCTAAGGGCGGAGTGATGATGTTCCATGACACAGACATATACCATAATTTATTTAATCAACAGGTCTCTACTCTTGTTTTCTCCCCCTTCAGGTTGACCAGTATCTCTACCACATGCGTCTTTCTGATGAGACCCTCCTGGAGATCTCTAAGCGGTTCCGCAAGGAGATGGAGAAAGGGCTTGCAGCCACCACCCACCCTACTGCTTCCGTGAAAATGCTGCCCACCTTTGTGAGGTCCACTCCAGACGGGACAGGTACTGCACCTGGGGGGATGGCTCTGGGTGCTCCGTTACTAGAGGGAGATGTGGGTGGCTTTGCTCAGTGACCCAAAGAACTATGTGCTGGTGAAGATTCTTTGATTTCAAGCTTCAGAAACTCTGGCTAATTTAAGCAAACAGGGAATTGAACAGAAGGCTGTGGGATGGGATGGACGGGAAGACTGGGGAAGCAGGCAGCCTTGGCAGTCAAGGCAGAAGGAAATCTCTGTCAGCCCTACCAGGGCATTGCTGTCAGCCATTTGTTTCCCATCCATGTGCTGAGAAAGGCTGCTTGGCTCAGTTTGGTATTTTATAGTCCCGCTGGTATTGCACACAGCGATGGTGATGAACGGCAAGTGTGCCTAAGATGATCACAGCCATAGACCATGGCAGTCGCTCTCTGGCCCCTCTAACTGGCACATTCCACAGGCTTGCTGGAGAAACAGTGTAGTCCTAGATTGTTCTCGAACTCCATGAAAAAAGAGCACTAGAAGTCCAAATAAACTTGGGAGAACGTGAAGAGCCACAGCGTATATTAAGGTATTAAAGGCTCTGGAGTTGTGCAATAAGAACCTGTCAAGCTTTGTTTAATCCCCTTATTAGACACAGAATCTGTATTTCGTGATGCACCACCCAGCAAGTGATTTAATCAAACTGGAGAAAGGGGTCGGGGTGGAGATGAAAGTTGGCAGGTGGGTTGGGCTAGCTCACAGAAGGCCTTGCATGCCGACCTAAACCATTGAGTCTTTCTGCAGTAAGCGTCGGGGAGTAACAGAGGTGTTGAGGGGTGTGAGCTTAACTGTCTTGGGAATGCACATCATCAACAGTATATGTGGAGGGGAGGAGGAGGGGTGGGCAGCTAGTAGAGCACAAGACATGGCCCTGGTAGGATGTGGTGGGCAGGGAGGAGAGAGGATTCTAAGGTGATGCCAAGACGTCGAGCCCAGCTGCCTGGGGAGTGGCAACATCCTCATAGGAGGGAACGGATCTAAGTTCTGTCAGCGCTTTCGCATGGCTTGTTTCATTTAATCCTCACAATAACCCTCCGTTTTAGAGATGAGGGATCGGTGCAGCAGGAGGGATGAGGTGTGTGGGATGGCTACCCACCTCTACAGGGTGGGAGAAAGAGCCCAAGGGACAGCTGCCGGGGCAGTGGAGGAACCACGAAGCAAGAGTCCGAGAACCTAAGGGAGGAGAGAGTGCCGAGAAGCTGGTCCCTGGTGAGGCATCTGCAGAGGAGTCCTGGGGTGGGGTTGGGGAAGGGCACAGAACAGGGCTTGTTCATAGGCCACATGCCTTGAGCATTTCCATCACATCTGTGTCCTTGGGCTTACCTGCCTGAGAGCCTCTGGGGACCTGGTTTGTCTAACAAGGCTTTGTACCTGTCTATGATTCCTAAAATAAGTATGTGTTTGCTGAAGCCTTGGGACCCAGCCTGGACCCAGCGCTGAGGCTGTGACCATGTTCAGAATTGTTCTCTGAGTGTGTGTGTCTCAGCCCATCAAAGAGCTCCCTGAGGTGAGGGGCCTCCTCCAATTCTTGGGTATCCCTTGTATGCCGTCTTGATTGGCATGTTTACTGTACCTACCACGCCCTCTGCCTGGCAGCCACACCCGCTTCTATTGTTTATTTGACATTTGGATAAATTTACTAACTCCTTAAAGCCGGAGACCTTGTCTTTATTTCAGGAAGGAGCACTAGGCAAGTATCTTAAAATATTTATTAAATATATATTATGGGCTAAGAGCTTTTCTGAGCACCTACATGTAGTAACTCACTTACTTTTCACAAAACCCTGTAAGGTAGGAACAAATTTTATTTACCGTTTTTTTTAGACGAGGAATTTGAAGCTTGGGTGGTCAAATAACTTGCCCAAGGTCACACAGCTAATGAGAGGCTGAGTCAGGATTCAAACTCATATATGCCACAGGTCAGGCATCAAGACTGCACCCCATCTATTACGTGTGTGCATGCACGTGTGGGCCTGTGCACGCAGCACCAGAGCACACGGCACATGCTCAGCTGAGATTTTTTTGAAATGGGGTTGGGGCTGGATGTCTTACCTGTATTATAGGCAGGTGAATAAATTTGTTGGGGAGGACTAGGTATGGGACTGGCTTTTTAAGTTCTCATTGCTTTCCTGAGATTGGAGGCATGGAGACCTCCCTCTGCCTCTTGAAGTTTGCACCGGTTGCTGCACTATGTGGTCATTGAGTCTCCTTCCCTGACCTCGGGCTGGACTCCTGGGAGCCCGTCTGTGTCCCACTGCTGCCCCAGAGTGGAGCAAGCAAGTATGCTTTGGGCCTCTATGAATGAATGTGCATTGCCTGGACTGAGGATGGGAGCCAGAGGCTGACTCCTGCAGCCTTCTGGGGCGGAAGGGTCTGGGGTAAGACTTGTTTGCCTGACCTCCTTTCCATGCAGAAACAGGAAGATTTTATATAACTTTTATGATACCCAGAGTGCCTCTTTATAATCTCAAATTCTGCAGCGTAAATGGAGGTGGTGTGTAGAAGGAATACTGTGTATTGGAATGTTTTATTCACTTAAGCAGAGCAAGTGCCTCCTAGAGTACTAGAAACCAGACTGTAGGGAACCTGGCCCCCAGCTCCTTCGTTCCTCACTTGCTGGGGGGTCCATGGGCCAGCTCCTCACCCTGGATCTCTGGGACTCACAGCCTTTTCTCCTTTGTAAAATGAGAGGTGGATCCAGCAGTCCCAATCTGTTCTACATGTGCACTAGAACCAGTGGGTTAGTCTATTTACACACAAAGTTCCTTGAAACACTGTAATGAGGGAAAAACCCTTCATGTGCATCAGTTGGCACTGGTCAATTAATGCAGAAAACAGTCCTCTGCAACTCATCATAAAGTATGAGATAGATTTATCTATACAGTCATGAGCTGCATAACAATGTTTCAGTAACCATGGACCATTTATATGATGGTGGTCCCATAAGATTAGTACCATATAGCCTAGGTGTGTAGTAGGCTACACTATCTAGGTTTGTGTAAGTAGTTATGATGTTCTGACAATGACAAAACTGTCTAATGATGCATTTCTCAGAACCTATCCCCATGGTTAAGTAACACATGACTGTACAGTATTCATATTCTGTAAACTCATGTATATATATGTGCGTACAGGTTATAAGTCTCAAGGACATATATTGAACTATTAGCAGTAGTTATTTTGGGATGTGAGGTTGGCAATAACTAGTTTAGATAAAAATATGTGTATATGAGAACTCAGCAATTCTACTTCCAATTATACCTTTTTTTCTTAAGATTTTATTTATTTATTTTTTCCCCCCAAAGCCCCAGTAGATTGTCGTATGTCATAGCTGCACATCCTTCTAGTTGCTGTGTGTGGGACGCGACCTCAGCATGGCCGGAGAAGCGGTGCGTCGGTGTGCGCCCGGGATCCGAACCCGGGCCACCAGCAGCGGAGCGCACGCACTTAACCGCTAAGCCACGGGGCCGACCCTCCAATTATACCTTGAGCAAACTCCCATATGAACTCAAGGAGACATGTCCAAGAATGTTCATAGCAGTATTGCTTATAAAGACAACATATTGGAAACAGTTTATGAAATATCCATGTGGTGGAATACTGTACAACACATTCCATAAAGGAGCATATATAAATATGGATACATCAAAAGACAATGAGTGAAAAATTTAAAAAAATCCCTCAAAGCAATGCTATACATTGCTTATGGACACGCATACACACATACAATTATTAGGATATAAATTGGAAAATGTACACCAGATAAATGATAGGGGTTATTGCTGGAGAGAAAGAAAGGAAAATGGAACTGGGGAGGGAAACGTGAGAGAATGTAATTGAAAGTGGTCCACATCAAGGCTTTCAATTTTGTGGTTTGTTAGTTGGGGCTATGAGGAATGGAATATGGCAGCGAGGATTGGTGACTCTTTGATAGATAAGCCTATCAAAACTGAAAATTCTCCTTTGTTATTGGCACCTTAGTAAAGTGCTGAGAGGAGAGACCAAGGGAACAGTGTGCACACGGATGGCTGCCTTTCCCCCAGGTGTGGTCACAAAGCCCATGGGACCTTGCCGCTGCATCCGCTTCCTGGCCCAGGCCACAGTCAAGCTCTGTTGCTGCTATTGGTGATTGTGTGTCTCTCCCATAGAAGGCTAGAGGCCTTTGCTCAAGTGGTGCTTGCTCCACTCTGGCCTTACCCAGAACCTTTCTCAGCCCATTCCTTCCTAGCATTACTTTTCAAATCTGGGAAATTAAACCTCACGAATCTAAACCTCTGATCTAGAGGGGCTTAATCTTGTAATCCGTGGCTCTCTTACTTTTCTGGACTACATACTCAATAGCAAGAAACACATATGTATACGTATTGATATACAACTGAAACAAGTTCCAGGGACCAATGTTTATTAATTGTGACACAGTCAGTTCTATTATCTTCTATTCTTTAAAAAGGTTGCTAGTCAGGACCCACTAAATTTTTTTCAGCTTGTAGTTTGAAAGCCACTGCCTTAAATGCTTTTTACCTGGTCTTGTCCTAGATGGGCATTTGTAAAATTGGCTACTTCCTGTCAGAGATGAGAGGTGGTTTCAGGGCAGTGTGCGGTGAGGGGTAAAGATCAGAATTCTAGGTTTAAATGGGGTTGAAGTCAAGCTGTATGCTTTAGAGCAGTTAATTTATGCCCTGGTCCTCCTTTTCCTCATTTGTGAAAAGAGGAAATACAAGAAGGTTGGCTATCTGAGAATTAAGGGAGAATCAGGTATATGACCTTCTCATGTATTATGAACACAGTCCTATGCAGCCACAACGCACCACAGCAGGAGGCACATCCAGCACCATTTTTACCGAGAGAGGGTGAATGAGCCTCTCAGGTCCTTTATTTTGGAGGGAGCAGGTCTGAGGGTTCATCCTCATCACTGGAGACCTTACATTACATGTTGGAGAGAGGACCAGGTCCCAGCTCTCTTTTATACAGGTCTCATCTGTCTAA